GCTTGGATAAATCAAAAGATATTTTTAAAAATGCTCAGGAGTTACTTTTTAATCGAGGGATATATAAAAATTATGAAAAGTTTGTTAACATTCATAGGGGCCTGATAGCCAAATGACTAACGCTCGGTGCACATGTTTCCGGTTCGAATCCCGGTGGTGCCATGAATATTTGCAGTGGTTCGGAATCCACTTTAAACCTTAGGTCCCGGTCTAATATGACTACTACACACCACTGTGCATAGAGCTGAGTTGCCCCTGTACAGTTTGGGAATGATGTGGGTGAGAAGAAGTCTGATTGGGCTCTGTGATGGTCTACGGTCATATGAGACCGGGGCCTAGACTTAAAGTGGATTCCGGAAGACTACAAACATGCATAGCACCGCCGGGACTCGAACGCGAAACTGTGGCACCGAGCGCTAGACACTGCCATTCAGGTCCCAAGGTCTAATATAATTGTTGAGAATAAGGTTGGTAACCCTATCCTGTAAAAAGGAAACATTTCCTGAAATCTGCCAGAAGACAAACTGCCTTGGCCCACTATGTGTTGTAGTACCAGGGAATTAGTTAGTTTCTTGGCATTCACGGCCCAGAAATTGGAGAAGAGATTTTTATAGGAGTCGAAAATATTGTTCAGAAAAACAATCTTCAATGAAAAAAAAATTAAAGTATGTTACTACTTATGATGGAAAAACATATGTGTAAAAAATAAAGATGTCATTGTTGTCGTATCAAAGACCGTAGAAACTGAAGGCGATTCAAAACCACTAATAGTACATTGCAGCATTCATCAACAGTCTTAATGCGGAAAATGATAGGATATGTCAGAATTTAATTACTATTGCAATTACTATTCTTAAACCATTATAGAATAGTAATTAAAAATTAGTTCATTCTAATGGAGAATTTCTGTTATTATAGTTTTTACATACATTTACTAAGGCTATGTTTTTACATACATTACTAAGGCTAAAATTTCAACTTTTCCTTCACTGCACATTATGTTTATTTAACTGATTATGCTGTTGCATTTTTTTCTTACGGGAAAAGTTTCAGCATTTCATTCCCATGAGAGACAATGTATGATATTTAGCAGGTATATAATAACCCCTCCCTCAAATTTAACAGCAGACAAGTAGTATTGTGGGTAGTTATATTACATGCAATTTGCGTTTTGTACTAATGAGAACAACCTGTCACTGAAATCTCATAGCGGATATTCGGTATCATGTATAATAAGACTCAGGAATTAGCGAATGTCTGTGCGATCTTTACAGGTCGAAACAACTATAAATTAAATATGAACTATACCATGAGTTGTTCCATCATGATTGGTGATAGACCAAGAGCTGAGAAATGTCGACTCGAATGAGAAGTGAGCGAAGCTGACCCTTCCTTTGGGCGGATCGCCTTAGAGAGATTTTGGTGAAGATGGAAGAGAGTTCTGTGATGAGTCGACCAAAAGTTTTTTTTTTCTTTTTTTTTCTCTGAAGTGACTGAATAGGCCGGTTTGTTTCCAAAGTGAACCCCTTGTGGTTTTGTGTATTATGCCATGTGATAATTAAGCTCTGCCGAAGATCAGGCAATTAGATTCGACGTAGACTCTAGAACTCTGACTTTGGAGTGACCTGTACTTGTGATTTAAACGTGTACTTGTGATCAAATTTTATTTTAATTTTTAATTTCTTTGTATAATAACCCATAGTTCATTTGCATATATATATATATATGTATATATATATATATAGTGCTTATAAATAAAAATTAAGATGTTCCCATGAACCTGAAAGTGGTCGTCTTCTTGAAGCCGTTATAGATCTAATAAAGGCCGAGACGTTACAATGCTAAACCTGCAAAATTAGTTAACGCCACTATATCAGTAATACAGAAAATTTTTAATTTTAAGCTGTAGTAAATGTAAATCAAAAACAATTAAAAAAAGATAGAGATATTAAATAAGAATGGCAACTTTATTACTCCTAATATCAACTTGCTTATAATAGATAGCATAATGAAATTTTAATTCTTCTAAAGTCAGATAGGAAAATTCCATCTCCTAATAGAATTACTATTATTTTTTTAAGATAGCCATTCTACGTAGTCCAAAGAAAATGTAATGAAATTTCAAATGATAATTACCTTACAGAAAATTATTTTGTCCAATAACCAACTCTTCTCAAAATTACTGAATACTTTTGAAATTAGTAAAGTACTGCCGTTGTTAATCCCCTAACGATGCAGCAATCTGGAAAACACTGTAATTATTTGATAATCGTTTCGATGTCCAATCACTGAAAGTGGTTGATGGTTTTCCCCTAATTGATCTCTCTCGGAACCACCATTATTTTCAAATGAAGAGAGGACGGGAGTAAGTTGCATTTGTTCTTATGTTGCTCTCTCTTAGCTTGATTAAAATTGTACCATTAAGACAGTCCTAAAATTAAAGCTGATGTAATGGTTTTTGAGTATTGTACTATAGGTCAATTCGAGTCTAATAGTTCTGGATTAAAGAAAAATAGGAGTTGAATTATTTCTTTTAGAAATGATTCTGCAAACAGTTTTTTGTGTAATCGATCTTGCATTGTTACAAATGAAAAAAAAAAAAATTGAAGTGAACTTCGGTTTGAATCGAACAATATCCTCTTCTTTTTCTCGGGAAATTAGCAAATGTCTGTGCGGTCTTCACAGGTCGAAACAATTACAGATTGAAGATGAACTATACCATGAGTTGTTCCATCATGATTGGTGATAGATCAGGAGCTGAGAAATGTCTACTCCAATGGTCCAAATGTCTTCCCCTAAATCTCTCTCGGAAGCACCATTGTTTTCAAATGAAGAGAGGATGGGAGTAAATTGCATTTGTTCTTATGTTGCCTTCTCTCAGCTTGATTAAATTTGTACCATTAAGGGAGTCCTAAAATTAAAGCTCATATAATGATTTTTGAGTATTGTATTGCAGGTCAATTCGAGTCTAATAGTTTTGTATTAAAGGATAATCGTAGTTGAATTATTTCTTTTAGAAATGATTCAGCAAACAGTTTTTCGTAAAATCGATCTTGTATGGTTACAAATGAAAAAAAAAAAAAAAAAAAATTGAAATGAATTTCGGTTTGCATAGAACAATATCCTCTTCTCTTTCTCGGGAAATTAGCGAATGTCTGTGCGATCTTCACAGGTCGAAACAATTACAGATTGAAAATGAACTATATCGTGAGTTGTTCCATCATGATTGGTGATAGACCACGAGCTGAGAAATATCTACACCATTGAAAAGTGAGCGAAGCTGAACCCTCCTCTTGAAGGATTGTCTTAAAAGAGAAGTTTTTGGTGAAGATGGGAGAGAGTTCTGTGATCGGTCGACCAGAAGTTTGGTTTTTCTTTTTTTTTTCTCGGAAGTGACTGAATAGGCCGGGGATTCCGCTTGTTAAGACGCCGCTTGTTCCGCTTGTACCATTAAGCTGATATAATGATTTTTGAGTATTGTACGGTAGGTGAATTCGTGCCTGATAGTCAAGAGTTATTACTGTACCCAAAAAGTAAAACCAATTTTTTTTTTTTTTCAAAAACTCTCTATTTATTCCTCAAAATTTATTTCATTGCCTTCAAAGTAATCCCCTCCGGACACAGTGCACTTATGCCAACTTTTTTTCCAATCCTCAATGCGTGCTAAAAAGTCATCGGCAGGGGTGGCCTTCAAAGCGCGCGGAGATTCAAGTTGAATCTCTTCAATCGACTGAAGGCGGTGTCCCCGGAGTGCTCTTTTGAGTTTAGGGAATAGCGAGAAGTCACATGGTGTGAATATGGTGGTTGTAGAACGATATGGGTGTCATTTCTGGCGTAAACGTCACGAAGTATCAATGCGTGGTGAGCTGGTGCCTTCAGTTTTTTCGGTAAAAATCGAGATTTGAGGTGTTTGAGGTCCAAAATGAAATTGACCGATCCTTTTGAAATTCCAACATCACCAGCAGAATGAGGGATTGTAAATTGACGGTTTGCAAGCACCGAATCTTTAATTGTTTGGACGTGAGCTTCGTCGGGTGAGGTGGATGGTCGACCATAGTGTTCTTCGTCTTCAACGCGTTCTCTGTCTTCTTTGAACTGCTTATACCACTTGTAAACATTTCTTTCCGATATTGGAATGCTCACCGAATGCCTTCTGCAACATTCTATACGTTTCCACAAACAAAATTTAATGCAAGTTCTTTGCTCAATTAATTCAGACATTTCAAAAATCGCCGGAATCAGTTTTAGCGTCTCACAAAGCCTGGCGTGCTCAAACACTGATGAATATTTTGACGTGAAATTTCACACAGATGTCAAGGACAATGCCAACAACCTGAAAAAGAAAAAGAAAAAAATTGAAATTCCATAAGCCCCGGGAATTTTAAATTGAAAATTGGTCTTACTTTTTGGACACAGTAGTACCATTAAGATAGTCTAAAATTAAAGCTGTTATAATGATTTTCGAGTATTATATTGTAGGTCAATCCGTGCTTCATAGTTTTAAATTAAAGGAAAATCGGAGTTGAATCATACCTTTTAGAAATGATTCACCAAACAGTTTTTCGTGAAATCGATCTTGTGTTGTTAGACAAGGAAAAAAAATCGAAACGAACTTTGGTTTGAATTGAACAATGCCTTCTTTTTGTTTGAATCCAAGTTACTTGTTGAACTTGAAAAATGTATCATCGTGACCTCAATCTTAAGACTAGAGTCCAGTCTTTGTCAAGGATACAAGTAATTATGTCTACTTTTTGTGTGGTGTGTGTTTCAACATATGTATACAGAACGTAGTAGCATTATAACATGACATGCATCAAGGTTAAGCTGGTTTGAGTTCAGCAAGAATTGTTTTTCTGTTTTTTAAATGTAAAGCATTTTGCACGATTCCTATAGATAATTAAATTTCTATTAGATCTTACAATGGCCTGGTTGCTTAAAGTCTCTCTCTCTCTCTCTCTGTCTCTCTCTCTCTCTCTCTACAGTAAGAATTAGTCAGCCAACAGCCATACCATGCTGAATATACCGATCACCGAAGTCAAGCATCATTGGGCGCGGTCAGTACTTGGGTGGGTGACCACCTGGGAACACCGCGTGCCGTTGGCATTCACAAATTTGGGACCTGAATGGCCGAGTGTCTAGCGCTCTGGCGCTCGGTGCCACAGGTTTCGGGTTCGAATCCCGGCGGTGCCATGGATGTTTGTAGTGGTTCGGAATCCACTTTAAGCCGTAGGTCCCGGTCTCCTATGACTGTAGGAGCGTCACGGAGCTAAAGTCAGACTTCTACCTGCGGGTACTCCATCACTACAGAAGCTGCTTCCTTCCCCTTCAATCATGAGTACGTATGGGCACGTGGGCTTGGCAAGCCAAATGAGATAAGCAACAACAACAAAATAACAAACAGAATTAGTCATCACCCATTTTCCTTTAATTCAAACTATCAGACTCAAATTGATCTACAATACAATACTCAAAAAATATTACATCAGTTTTAATTTTAGGACTGTCTTAATGGTACAGCTAACTAATTCTCATGCTGATCCAAGGCCGTCTGCATACTGGTAGATTTCGAGACAGGATATGTTTTCTCTTTTACGGGGTATAGTTGTCAGCCAATGTTTTACAGTCCTATTAGACCTTTATTTTATTTGGCCGAATGGCTAGCGCGCTATCTCTCGGTACTAAGGGTATAGAGTTCGAATCCCGACAGTACCATGGATGTTTGTAGTGGTTCGGAATCCACTGTAATCCGTAGGTCCCGGTCTCATATGACCACAGAGCCCAAACAGACTTCTTACCCACATCGTTCCCAAACTGTAAATGGGCAACACAGCTCTAGGCACTGTGATGTGGTGTGGTGTAGTAGTAGTAGTAGTAAGCCTATTGGACCGGGGCTTGAATGGCCAGTCTAGCGCCCGGTGCCACAGGTTTCGGGTTCAAGTCCCGGAGGGGCCATGGATGTTTCAGCATTACGCTGTAATATTGGGATTAACCGAAACAGCAAATTTTAAAACTTATTATCTGTGGTGGACATACCGACAACAACAGATGAAGAAAATAAACAATCCATAAAAAATTTTTGGAAAAATTACAATATCATGGATGCTGTTGACAACATCAATCCACCTTGTCATGAGGTGACCGAGAAATGTTTTCAATAAGATGGGAAGAATGTTTGATCGAAGGTAAGTAAGGATGTTACAAATGTATTTAAGTACAAGTATATCCATTCCTGATGTCAACGAAATTGTCAAGCTATCAAATACACTGAAGTGACAAAAGTCATGGGATAGCAATATGCAAATTTTCAGATGGCAGTAGCATCGCGTAGAACAGGTATAAATGCGCAGTGCTTTCGCAGAGCTTTCATTTCTGTTCAAGTTATTCATGTGAAGAGGTTTTGACGTGATGATGACCGCACGACGGGAATTAACAGACTTTGAACGCGGAATGTTAGTTGGAGCTAGACGCATGGGTCATGCCATTTTGGAAATCGTTAGGGAATTCAACATTCCCAGATCCACTGTGTCAAGAGTGTGCCGAGAGTATGAAATTTCAGGCATAACATCCCACCATGGACAGCGCAGTGGTCGACCGCCTGCACTTAACGACCGAGACCGGCGACGTCTGCAAAGAGTCGTAAATTCTAACAGACAAGCAACACTGCGTCAAATAACCGCAGAAATCAATGTGGGACGTACAAGGGACTTGTCTGTTAGAACTGTGCGGAGAAATTTGGCTTTCTTGGGCTATTCCAGCAGAAGACCGACTCGAGTGCCTTTACTGACAGAACGACATCGCTTGCAGCGACTCTCGTGGGCACGTCAGCATATCGGTTGGTCCCTAGATGAATGGAAAAGCGTGGCCTGGTCCGATGAGTCACGATTTTAGTTGGTAAGAACTGATGGTAGGGTTCGAGTGTGGCGCAGACCCCACGAAACCATGGACCCAAACTGTCAGCAAGGCACTGTTCAAGCTGGTGGTGGCTCCGTAATGGTGTGGACTGTTTTTTCATGGCATGGACTTGGTCCTCTGGTGCGACTGGACCGAACATTGACTGGAAATGCTTATGTTCAGCTACTTGGAGATCACTTGCAGCCATTCATGGACTTCATGTACACAAACAACGATGGGATTTTTATGGATGACAATGCGCCATGTCATCGGGCCACAACTGTTCGCGATTGGTTTGAAGAACATTCTGGACAATTCCAACGAATGATCTGGCCACCTAGATAGCCCGACATGAATCCCATCGAGCATTTATGGGACATCATCGAGAGGTCTGTTCGTGCCCAAAATCCTGCACCATCAACGCTTTCACAATTATGGACGTCTATCGAGACAGCATGGCTCAATATTCCTGCAGAAGACTTCCAACGACTTGTTGAGTCCATGCCACGTCGAGTTGCTGCACTTCGCCGGGCGAAAGGAGGGCCGACACGATATTAAGAGGTATCCCATGACTTTTGTCACTTTAGTGTAAAACAGGATTGGATGCGTAGGATAATATGAATGCATAGGATATTGTATAATTATTGTAAGTTACAACCGGTGAAAGTCTTTACAACGACGATCTTAAAAAAATAGTCGAACAGCATGCGCATGAAGATCACTAAATTATCATTTCTGAAAATGAGGAGCAAAAGGAACTTTCAACGGATTGTCTGAAAAAGAGATTAGTCACTACATTGTGAACTACGGAACAGTTTATACAAAATGATAAAAAATTTTCAAACTTCGTCTTCGTAAGCAAGACAAAGTGTCATTGATAAGATGTCTTGCTGTCGACAGCTATTTGCTGAAGAATCTTCCTCATCATAAATTTCTTTACTCGAACATTTTTTTTTATGATTTTAATGAATGTTTTATGAATAAAAATCGATACTAACAATAAATAAGTCTGTAGATGTCACAAAATAAAACAAACAAACAAAGAAACAAAATTGATAAATTTTCTTATTCTCAGTTCTGTTTCACTTTTCCCTGTTATTGTGTTAAGATGATCTCATTTAGCGATGAAGCTTATTGGAACGTATCTTCTTCGTTAAGCTATTCTTACTTTTCTTTCCATTACCCTATACTAGGGGTCGGCAACCTGTGGCTCGCGAGCCACGTGCGGCTCTTTGGATGTGAAGCTGCGGCTCTTTAGTTCCATACGCAAATATTATTTATTACATAAAAAAAGGCGTTTAAAAATCGTTTAAACATGAATGTGCGTAACGCAACAAAAGTGGACAGGCTTAAAAGAAATGCCGCGAGTTGAGGCACTTATATTCGACGCATGGAATAGTCTTCCAGATTGCTACAGTGAGGTGAAGAAGTTGGCATTTGGAGTGCTGACTATCTTCGGATCGACGTATTCGTGCGAGCAAGCGTTCTCTTGCATGAACATAATTAAAAGTAAAGTAAGAAGCCAACTAACAAATGGAAATTTAGAGTCGTGTTTGAAACTTAAAACAACAAGTTATGAGCCAAACTTTCTAAAACCATGCAAAGCTAACGCTCCCAATGAATTTGTTTGCTCAATTGTTTGTTATTGAAGTACAAGTTAGTGTTGTAAGTAAATGTTTAATTGTTTTAATTTTTTACTTAAATAATAAGTAATTATCTAAAAATGCCATATATACTGTCTAATTTGTTGTGAAAAACACTACTTATATATGAATAGATTAGTTTTTTTTTTATCAAAAGTAAGAATTTATTTATGCGAGTACTATTTATTGTTCGCAAGAAAAAATTTTGTGGCTCTTTAAAAGCTTTGAAATTTTGTAAATTGTAATTTTTGACTCTTCGGACTCAAAAGGTTGCCGACCCGTGCCCTATACCTTTCGTTACCCTATACGAGTCGGGCTCATACAGTCTTTTCAGATGTAATTACCTCACATTTACCTCTTATGTTCTTATGGGGAAAATATCAAGACTGTCACGTAATTTTCTTTTACTGAAATTGTCACAATCATCTCAAATTTCCCCATTTCTGGCAACTGTGCGCCCCCAGATAGAATCAAACCCTTTTTTCAATTTGCTTTCATAGAGTCGGACTCCCAAATAAAATATTTTATTCATTGGCTGCTCTTATGATCCCTTTACGCATACTCGTGAAAAGCACATTAACGGACCTACAAAGGGAGATAACACTTATAGAAATAACTGCTTTGTATTTCTGCGCTGTATGACAGAAAATCCAGAAAAACTGCCATGCAATCTGACTTCCGATGCGAGGTGTTCGCATCGACTGTTTCTGAAAACAGTGTCTACGATATGCCATTGTGGCCGAGATTTATCATGCGCTACTGTAGTATAGCGCCATTTTCTGGGAAGCGTTGGAATTACGCAAAAACGTCACTCAAACTGGGTTAATCGAAGCATACAACGTTATTTTGTAGCGAACAGCAAAACTATAGCAGTATACATTGTAAATTTTACTATGTAATCAAAGTAAATTGTGGCGGTCCGAATTAATAGTACTCGCGAACCGGTGTTGGACCACGAGTAGTAGTTTGAAGACTCCTGCTATAGAATTTCGATTATCTGAGAAATTATCTTATTATTATCTAATTATTAACCAGGCTCACCTTGAATAAATCGGACTTACTACATAAATCGGCACTAAATAAGAAGATAAAATATAAATTAATACACAATTTAGTAATTTTTAATGTAGTACATGTATTTACGGGGCCTGATGGCCCTTGGTGGCGCAGGTTTCGGGTTCAAGTCCCGGTGGTGCCATATATGTTTTTAGTGGTTTGGAATTCACTTTAAACCGTAGGTCCCGGTCTAACATGACTACTACTACTAAACCACACCACATCACTGTGCCCACAGCTGAGTTACCCCTGGATGATGTGGGTGAGAAGTCTGATTGGGCTCTGTGACGCTTTACGGTCATGTGAGACAGCTTAAAGTGGATTCCGAACCACCACAAACATCCATGGCACCGTCGGAATTTAAACCCGATACTTGTAGTACCGAATGCCAGAACGCTAGTCACCCGGCGATTGGGCCCCTGTCTAATATGACTGCTGGGCATCGGGCTGACAACCCCACCCCATAAAAAATAAACATCACCTGTCTAGAAATCTTTCAATAGACAGAC